CTAGCTTAATCTCTTAAGTACTAAAACAATATTTACACCTTCCAGTAATAATGATCTTATGAGTAAGTAAGCATTACCTACAATACCGCTCACATTTCAAAAAGTGTCTTTGTAAGAATTCACGTCTTTATTCTGGCGCTGAGTGTCGCATTGTCATAATTCTTCTAAATAGGTCTTCTTTAAAAAGAAAAAGCGTTGTAATCAACTCGTTAGGGTAAATCTATTGTTATGATATACTAGTGAGCACGCTGGGTATACGGTAAACTCAACATCACAAATTCGTCTGAAACCTCACCCAAGGCGGTTATTTATGCGCTGGTCATGAAATCCACATGTCGCATTAGCCTGACGGGAGAAGTACGGTAGGTATACGGTAGGGGTCAACATCGCAGATTCGTCTCGATCTCTACCTAGGGGGATTACTTCTTCATAACGATCATAATTTATTGCTTACTTTCAGAATTGTTAACAAAGTACTGATTAGATGTACGCTTAGAGAGAGCTCTCGAGAAAGAAGCATGAGAGATCGGATACGATTTGGTAACCTGGTTTCAAAGATTCTGGAGTATTATGTTCTTGCCGTTAGGCAGCAGTAATAGCTGTTTATGACCGGCACAATTTGAACGAGTTTTGTTATTGTTATTTCGCGACACAGAGAGGATAAAGTTAACGCCCTTCCCTGCTTTCCGAAAAGTTCTACTTTGGTGAAATATATGTCCACGTCTTGTAAACTTTTTAAAAATTGCGGAGCTATTACTGAGCAAGATTTACCCTAAGCTGCTCTTTCTTTATTAGCATGTTGCATAGGCAGAAAGTAGGACATTGGACATATGCTCAATGGCAGTAATCCTAGCGAAGGACCAGTCATCCCTGACTAGCGACTAGCTTACAGTCTATTTTGCTCTTACCAATAATTTCTTTTGTAGATACCGCTACTGTAGCAAAGACTACTTGACATAATCCGCTGACAAAATCGCTTACGTGTTTTGAAGTGTAACTGAACTCAGGCAATCTTTGAAACATCCTTTCC